AAATATTTGAATTCCTTATCGATTTTATAAACGTTGATGATTTATCGTTAATTGTTGTTTTTGTAATTATATAATTTATGTTAATTCAATGGAATGTGCGTACGGAACAGATGATTTTTAACACGTTAGGTGCCGTACATTTTTTCGGAGAGTTACTGAAATGAAAAGTTTTTTATGCAGCCACTATTTATATTTTTTCTGTTTGTTGTTTGTTGCCGTCACTTTTCATCTTTTTTTTTTTTTTTTTTTTTTTTTTTTTTTTTTTTTTTTTTTTTTTAATTTCGTGACTATTGATGTGCCTTAAATCAAAGCGATAGCGTAATTAGTTTTTTTGGCGTAGATTACCGATTACTAACTTTAACTATTATTCAACTGTACTCATATATTTTTATACCTTTATTCGCACTGACATTTTGGTGCTTAAAACTACAATTTCTTAGCTTGTATAACTGCCGTTATAAGTTGTTTGCTTGCATAACTGTTGGTAACTTTAATATATTGAGTGTTTTTATATTTGCTAGTGGGAACTAAGTTGCCCTTACTGTCCCCTATGCTGTATACTTTCATTATTTTTAACTATATCTTGTTTTTATTATAATTAAGGGTTTGGTAGGTAGACAAGTAAACTAAATTCTTGTTAGAATTAATGTATCTCTTGTTTATGAGAGATAACCACTCTAAATAATTATGTTAGTTTTTACTTTCATGTTTTCGACGGATTTTTATGTTTCGGAGTCCCCTAAATCTGTTTTGACTATTTTCGCGATGATATCGGTGTATCTATATACTCATGAACGGATACATTGAAAAACTCAAAATTTTAAACTTAAGCTTTAATCCATCCTGCGGTGAGTTGATTAGATTTTGGGCATAGTCGTCTGGGGGTACTTTATGAAAGGTAATTTTTCTGCCTTATGGAATATATACATTATTTACGCTTTAGATAAAAGTTACTTGTAATATTATTCTTTGACAAAAAATGCAAATTCGAATTTTTATTTAAGAAAATTGTTTAAATAAAAGTTGTTTGTGATGTTATTCCCTATAATTCTTGTCCTTTACGTACGAAGTCTTTAAGAAGAGCATTTTTTAAATAAAAATTGCTTGTAATACTATTCTCTATAATTTTTGTCTCATACATAATTTTCCTAAAATGGTTCGTATTCGAAATTTGACAAAAAATGCAAAATTCGAATTTTTAAGAAAATCGTTCAAATAAAAGTAGTTTACGATATCATTCTCTAGAATTTTATGTTCAATTTCTCTAAAATGCACCGTAATGGAAATTTTGAAGAACAGTGAAAAAATTTTAATTTTTTTGTATTTTCGTTGACAATGAATATACAAGGTGTTTCTAAATTTATGCGACAATATTCAGGAGGTGATTGCTAGTAGGAAATTAAGATGGGTCTTTCCTATAACAAAATTTCCTCAGCCCACCCCTTTCCGAGATATCACCCTTAAAAGGTGGTGACCAAAATTGAGTTTTCATTTTTTTTCTAAAATGTATTTTGGCTAGGGATGGTCATTTCCAGCATTTATTATGAATCGTATTACATTTTACATCTGTACTATTTTCCAATCATTTTATTAAAAAAAATTATAAATTATGGAGTTTATTTTTTTCTCTGCAGCTATAGTCCAATTAAATAACGAAAAAAAGCCCCTTCGAGCTTACATTAATTTGTAATTGGATGAAACAAAAAGGACCTTGTGTATTTTGATGTGATCTTTCCGAAAAAAAGAAAACAAAAGATGTAGCAGTTTTTCAATTTTTTTTAAATTAGGAAAAACCGGGTTTTCCGGAATTTTCCATTGTAAAAATGCTAATTATCTGGGCAAGTATCATTCCGATAGTGAAAATAAATGCACCATTCGAAAGAGGAGGCAAAAATAGTTCGGAAATTCATTGCACAGGTAGTTTTAATGGCGAATTTCTCGCCGCCAGAAGTGCTTTTACCAAAAAGTCGTTTTTTCGTTTTTTTGATCAGAACCATGGACATGAAATTTGCGATGAATTTGTGGCGAAATTATAAATGTTAGACATATGTGCCCATGAGAGAAGTTGCGTATTTTTTTGTTGGCTCTCAAATAAAATAAGTCCCGCGGCGAAATCTGACATAATTTTTCGGGAATTCGCAGGAAACCAGAGGCGTAGTTTTTTTTTAATTTTTTTCCCATATGATTTTTTCCGGGTTTTCCGAAAACATCTAACAAAATAAATATATTTGAAAAAACTAACTGCGCCATCGAAAAGAGCACAAAAAAATACACAAAAAGGTATACTTTAAAAATGTTAGGAAATTAATCCTAAGCCTGAGTGTAAGTTCCAACTTGGTGATAAGCTTGCTTTTTGTTCGCTAATATCTGGTAATTCTATATTTTGCACAAAACTCAAGAAACGTCTTATAACAAGTCAGTAAAATACAATTTAATAAATTTTAAGCCTAATAAATTTAGATAGGCAAGAAATTTAAAACTGGAAATCGCAAAAAAATCAAATTACAGTAATGTAGTGTATACACGAGTTTTGGATCCCGCGGAGCGCGTGTAATGGGACTTTTGTCGGGAGAATTCTACAACTGTGTTTAATTTTCAGACAAAAAAACTAAAAATTGTCAATTTTAGGCAACTTTTCTCAAAAACCGTGTTTTTTGGACGCCACTCAATGAACAGTGGTCAAAAAAATAGATAAAATATATTTGCAGAATTTTCCGTAATGTAATCGTATTATAGACACAATAGAGTGCATTTTTGGCATTTTTGTGCCACTTAAAACTTTCGAAAAAAAAAAATTATTTTTTTTTTTGAAAAAAAAAAATTATTTAATTGTTTGATATCTTAGCCAATTATGGTCCGATGTCGATGAAATTCACACACACATAAGATTTCACATTTAAGAGTAAGCTTTGTAAGTGGCATTAAAAAAATTCAAATAGTTTGGCCGTTATAGGCAAACAATGAAATTAAGACCGCGGTGCATTTTGCCCTTCCGCCATATGCCCAATTTTGGGATTTCTCTTGCCTTCTTCTGGGAATCACTAGTCACATCCCTTAAGTTCAAAACGCATTTTTGTTTTTTCAAATATCTTAATTTTTACCAATGTTATAAAGAATTTAGTGTTTGAACATTTAACAAATTCATTTTTTCGACCTTCGTCGCCTCAAAATACTAAACAAATTTCAATCGTCCATACCGCGAGAACGGTGCATCGGCTCAAAATTTCTCAGAGAGACATAAAAATTAGCATTTTTCCTAAGCTTTCAAATGTCGTAAAATGCGTTTTAAAAATATTGATTTATATCCGACATGCGCCTGCGCAAAATTGAAAAATTGACAAAATCCAAAATTTCGGCACTTTCGAAAAACTGCTACATTTTGTTTTGCCTTTTTTCGAAAAGATCACCTCAAAATACATAGAATCCATTTTGTTTCATCTAATTACAATTTAATGTAAGCTCAAAACCCGTATTTTAATTCGATTACTATTGGTTTTGGGAAAAAAATTTAAGAATAAATTTTTTTTTTAAATAAAACAAGGATTTCAAGTTATAATATAATTTTATTTCATAAAACTTCATCTTGAAAAAAAGTTTTGATATGAAATAAAGTAAGGGTTGCTAATTTCACCCCCCTATAATGTAACAGGAATATTGAAAAAATACCCGTGGTTAGTCCTTAGCGAGTGCACAAAAATTACAAAATTTCAAGTTTCTAGCTTTACTGAAATTTTAGAAAAAAAATAAAAATTCAATTTTAGTCACCTCCTTTTAAGGGTGATATGTCGGAAAAGGGTGGGTTGAGGAAATTTTGTTATAGGAAAGACCCATCTTAATTTCATACGAGCAATCACCTTCTGAATTTTGTCGCATGAATTTAGAAACACCCTGTATATGTATATAAAAAAAAATGTTGCAAGTTGTATGTGAAAAATGTATGTATTTAGGTTATCCTTTAAACATTTACAAGGGTGATACAATAGGTTGGACAAAATAATCGGAAAAACCTGTAATAGCCAGACTGGAAAGTAATATGTCAAGATTAACGTAGAGCGAATTTTTTGTTGCATTTATTTTTCTTGACAGATAGTATTGTTCTCTAATATTGTCTAGCTTTTTAGTCGTTTTTTTATTGGTTAGATTCTGTCTTATCTATCTAAAGGAAAATTTTACAGATTGTTACATTGTCTACTGAATAATGACTCTTATTGGACTATCAGTAAGGACAGCGAATAAATTAAGGCTAATTGATAATGTGTATTTTTAAATCTATTGGTAGTTTTCCAAATTAAGTTTTAGTGTTTTTGTTTTATTAAAAAATAATTTTTTTAGACTACGAATCTCACAAATTTTGGTAATACAGTTGATGTATTTGTATTTTTGCAATGCAGTAATTAATTAGTTCATTAATTAAATAAAATATGGGTTGAATGTTGTTAGTATTTGGGTTAAGCGTTTTGCTGGAGTGCAATGTAATTTGCTTATAGTAGATTGATTTATGGAGCAACTTTTCTAATATCTTTAAAGTTTTTTTACCCCGCTAATGCGTTGTTTTTCAGCTCTCTTCAAATATTTTCATGTAAAATTGGTCACAACTAAACTGAGTGAGCTGTTCATAGCGACATCGTCAATTTGTTCATAGAATGTTTGATCCCACTGAAAATATGATGTTGTGAGAGAATGTTGGAAAATGTTGATGGGAAAAAATTCCCCTATGTAGCTGACTACTTCTTCGAGTGGCACATTTCTAAAAATGTAATAATTATATTAAAAATTCTTTTCATAAAAAGAAATATTTAATAATAAAAAACAACAATAAACTTGTGAAATACCGAATTTAAATTTATTTTATTAAAAGGAAATGCATTTTTAGATAGCCAACCATATTTATTCATAAATGCAGTAAGGTAAAAAAAATATCTACATGTTAATTTGCCTATCGAAGAGGATATAAATTCTACTATAAAAAGTATGGGTTAAATACAGAACTTTTCATATTAAAAAATGTACTCGTTAAACATTTTGCTTGTATTCACTATTTTGTGTTTTGCAGTCTCACAGGCTACATTTTTAGGGGGAATATTGATTTATCCAGGTAAGAATATCAAATTACTTTATTTATAAAAGTAAAAGTGAAAGATTTTTGAAATATGACTTTACGAAGTTTGCTATTTCTAGTATTTCTTCTGAGTATAAAAATAAAAGGAATAATTTATTTTTTTTAAACCCACATGGATATTAGCTTATACATACTACAAAATGAAAAAGAATGCCATTGCGTTCAATTAAACGAATATAAATGTCATACTTTTTCTAGGTAGTAAGAAGATTGCACAAATATGAAATCCACCAATCACAGTTCATATTTTGGTCACGCGGCTACTATTATTTCTTAAAATTTTAAATAAGTAACAATTCTGTCAGTATATTTTTAGTTATTGAGCTTTGGCGATGGTTCTTTTAATAACTCTCTGGCTTATCTCTGTCCTGGCGAATTTTTCCACCTATCCTGATATTGTTTTAGTAGCCACTGAATTGTGCATGTTCTGATAGCTATCATTGTGACACCACAGAAGGGTTCCAACCATCAAACTGCTCCAAGACGACGAATGGGTTGAACTTCAATATTTAGTGCTCCTCAAAAATGAGATGAGAAAGCCGGCACATATAATCACATAAAAAAATAACGGTTTAACTACGCGTTAACCAACTTCAAAACGCACCATCAATGCTTCCCATAAAATAGAGACATTTTTACTAGACTCCCCACGCGGGATGATATACAAAATCACATAATAAAGTAAAAAGTCTCTCAGCGAATTTTCAGTTCAACACCGCCATTAACATTCCGTGTTAGATTGGAAGACGAATCTGCCACGTGCTACAAATTGCGCCGTTCTTCGCCTCCCTATCATGAAACCTCGACCGCGCAGAATCACTTCAGAAGAAATCCATTAAAACCAATCGCCGCTCTCCGATCTCTAGATATTATTGTTGGTTACACTGTGCGACCAATGACCTCCTTCATCTGCTAGAATGCGACCATTCGCATTCAGGCTGACAGCTCTGTAAGCACTGCTCGACCAATAAGAAAACCCAAAAACATGCCCATGAAATGCAAACATCGCTTAACGAGCACTCCTTAGTTCACGAATCGCTGGCATATGAATCGTGGCCAGACATACGTCGCCCCTTCATCCTCCGTCAAGTAGAAAAAGAGAGGCATTTCCTAAGAATCACTTATCAAACAAAGATAGATATCTCGAAATGCGACACGCATACCTCATTATTCAACAATGACATCCGACATCAGTTTTAACCTACAAAATACCAAGAACATTGTAAACATAAATCATAGTGAAATTCAGTGTAACCTTGTAAAAATTATGTGAGCCCTAAGGAGGAACATTTACGCCAGTTACGCTAAATTCCTTTTGAACAAAATAAATAAAATACAGAGGTTATTGTAAACAATATCTTTATGAGTGAAAACTACTATTGAAAATCATAGTGAAATTCAGTGTAACCTTGTAAAAATTATGTGAGCCCTAAGAAGGAAAATTTACACCAGTTACGCTAAATCCCATTTGAATAAAAGCTTTGTTTTCTCGAAAATATAATAAAGTTTTACGACAGGAGCATATTCAAGATAATTTCTAGATTATAAGTCAATTCTCTGCTAGTTTTGAGACAGAAATAGGCGATAAGGCATAACGTTCGAGTAAAACCGTAACACCATACCACCGATCCATAGGTTATCATAGGCCTTATGACTTTGGTATACAGCTATAAGGACTTTTTTGGTTGTAGTATCCATTTTTTTTCTCAAAAACATAAATTAAAGGATGTTGAATCTATGTTAACCTGTGGCCAAAGATGTGACACCCAAGTATTTAGCCTCCTGGGCAAACGGAATTTTACTCTTTTCTTACTGTTACTACTTTAGTCCTATCAATACCTTTCGTTTTTTAAAGTTGACCATAGTGATTTTGTAAGGATTTACTGTTAGTTTTTTCCCTCTGCGTCACTGTTCAACGATGTTTAGAGCGGTTATTCTCATATCATTAAGATATAGGGATTCTAAAATTTTCTTTGATAAATTCTTTGTTACTACCAAAATATAATAGTCTAGATTCCTTAGAATTTAATTTTAACTTGTTTTTGACTGAAACAACTAAGTTCTGAGCTGTATTAATAATATTACAGCATAAATTTAAACACTTAATCGTTTTAAATATTGCATGTGAACTTTTTTCTAAATTGTCATTCATTTATTTGCGATTGTTTACATTACAGGCCTGATGACATCGTGTTAGTCAAACAAGTAACACTCTCAATTTTTATCAATATTTATTGATTTAGTGTTTTCTTTATTCTTTTTAAATCGTAATTATACAGAATCAGCTTTGATATTAACACATCTACATGTATACATAAATATTGTATTATTTGCAGGAACCAAATGGTGTGGAGCTTCAAATAAAGCCGCCAATGACAATGATTTCGGTACAGAAATTGCAACCGATAAATGCTGTCAAGCTCACGATAAATGTCCAGATGTTGTAAAAGGTTTTGGTACGAAGGGCAATTTAAGAAATCCAAACTTCTACACAAGGTAAATTAAAAAAAAAAACTTTAATCAATCGTCCCGTTCTAATTTTTGAAAAATGTGTAAATAGTTCAACGACGTGGATAGTCATATATGTGTAGGGTGGATTTGACAGGAAAAGAAAAGTTATAGTTAGAAGTGTTATCTGACTTCAAAAAGAAACATTTTGTGTTTTTTACTTTCTATTTGTAGTTGCGTACGAGGAAGGGGAGGGCGCAAACAACATTTACTATGTCCTGGTAGTAGGAGCTGTCGTATAAGCTGTCAAATTCAAAGCAAAGTTGCTTGTCGGTAGATTTTTCGATTTTTATTGGTGATAAAATAATATGCTTCTAGAGGTTTATAACAATAAAAAAATCCTTTTGGAAAGCATGTTAGCATGTTTTGTCGTCCGATTTTGTTCACTTGAGTATTCAATATATAAATATGGACCTAGGTCAGAAGATCGATCATAGTTTTGTGTGGTCTAATCATAATATTTTATTACCTAAATTGCTAATTTTTATTCGATTTAAAAGATAATTTGAGTATGTGTTGAATGCTTTGTATGAATCTTACTCTTTTTGCTATATACCTACTATTTTCTAAATTAGTTTTGATATTTTATTTTAGGTTGAACTGCAACTGCGACAAACAATTTTATGTTTGTTTGAAGAAGGCAAATACTAAAGCGTCAAATGAAATAGGAAATATATACTTTAACAAGCTCCACACCAAGTGCTTTACTGGACAAGGAAAGTCATACAAGTGGGAAGACGAGCAACATTATTAAATGTTTTAAAAATATATGCATTTTGGATTAAAATCATGTTTTTTTTTAACTATTATATCTGTACCATAGTATCGAAGGTTTGATGTCCAGTTGTAATAAATTAGATTATTTAGATAGATTTATTGATGTTAACACATTGCATTTTGTATGTTGATAACAACTATGAGCGTCATTTCATTGGTTTACTGTGGCGTTGACGACGGTTATGTGCATTTTTAATTTTTCTACCTTTTGAACGGATTAGGATATACTGCAAAATCAAATATGTATGTATGTCCCTGTTTTCTGCCAATATTTTGAAAAATTTTGTTATAATTCACTCATTGTCTTCATGTATAAAGATTAAGGTACCATATTATGTTTATTGTTGGGCCTTAGCTGTATCAACCATTTATGTGAAAAAAGTTATTTGTAAGATATTTCAAACTTGGTAAGTTAATAACTTTTAATTTAAATTCCACCTGGGTTCTGACTTCGGTACTAGCGCTCCTCAGTCGATTTATAGAACCACCAACATTATTTTTAAATTTGTCAGTCAACTGCAGGCCTATAGCTACTAAGTCTAAACGATTTTCAGCTGAAGATTTGAAATTTATTACCACTGAAATTGAAAAACTTCGCCCTGCGTGCACAAGTTTTAATAAGAAAAAGTGAAACTCACAAGAAACGAATGATGGTAGATTACTCCCAAACTATCAACAAATTCACTTATCCAGATGCGTATCTTCTATTCAGTATAGAAGATATAGTCCGTACTGAATTTCAAGTATTAAGTACAATTGATCTACAAAGTGCATATCACCAGGTACCAATCCGAGAAAATTTTTACTGCTTTTGAGACAAATGGTATATTGTATCAGTTTCTAAGGGACGGTCTTTTCACCTTCAGATAAAGTTTCAGGTAATGTTTATCTCCCAAGTATCTCACAAAGTAATCTTTTCACTTCTGGATAAACCTAACTTCTAAAAGATAACTTATTTTACTAATGGAATTCTTGATAAAATACTGCACTGATGTATAAACAGGTAGTTACCTAACCACATAAGGTTAAAAACTACTGGTTACCTACCCTGCATATTATTTACTTAAAAAGACAGAAAATTAATTATCTGACAGATGGTAACTCTCAGATAATATATCCGTCAGTTAGTTATCTAGAAGTTTATCTGAAGGTGAAAAGACCGACCCTAAGAATTTTGTTTGGTGTAACGAATGGAGTCGCCTGTTTTTAGCGCATTATAGATAATATTATCAAATATGAAAATCTAAAAGGGGTATTTGCATATTTAGACGATATTACAGTTTACGGGAATGACCAAATTGAACACGATGAAAATCTTAAGAACTTTTTAATTGTAACAAAAAATATACCTAACAATAAAGCAGAACAAAAGTTTCTATTCTATAAAATCAATCAATTCTTGGTATCTCATTGAAAACAAAACCTTAAAACTTGACCCCACTAGACTGGAACCATTATTTAAACTTCTTCTGCCCTCTAACTTTCAATCTTTAAAAAGAGCTGTTGGCATGTTTTCTTATTACTCGAAGTGGATACCTCAGTTATTAGAGAAAATTCATAAACTCGTCTCTTGTAAAATATTTGCCAGAACCAATAGCTTATGAATTTGAAAGTCTAAAAGAAGATAAAACAAATCTGCTATCACTACTATTGAAGATAAAATTCCTTTTGTTGTTAAGACAGATGCCTGAGAACATTCTATTGCTGCATCTTTAAGCCAAGCTGGAAGGCCCATTGCATTTTTCTCCAGGACACTCACAAAAAGTGAACAAAACCATTCATTAGTAGAAAAAGAAGCTTATTTTATTGTTGAAGCGCTTTAAAAATGGCGTTACTTTTTGATTGGTAAACATTTTCAGCTCATTACAGCTCATTTATGTTAAGAATGAAAAGATTCTTAGATGGCGTTTGGAACTGTCCTGTTACAACTACGATATAGTATATAGACCCGGAGGACCAAATGTAGTACCTGATACGCTCACTCGAGTTTGTGGCTCAAGCAAAGATAAAACTTTATTTGATTTGCGTCAAGCTTTGTGCCATCCTGGTGTTACAAAAATGACACATTGGATAAAGTCTCAAAATATGCCCTATTCAGTGAAAGACGTGCGTTCTGTGACGGCCGCCTGTCCAGTGTTTGCAGAACTTATACCAACTTTTTTTAACTATCACTAAACTCTTATAAAAGCTACTTCTATGTTTGAAAGAATTTATGTGGATTTTAAAGGCCCAGTCCCTACAAATACTAAAAACAAATCACAATCGTCGATAAATTCTCTCGTTTTTCATTTGCTTATCCTTGTTCCGATATGACATCAGATACTATAATACAATGTCTTAATTTCTTATTTGTCTTCTATATTTGGAATGCCCGGGTATATTCACTCCGATCAAGGTTCGTCATTCATGTCATATGAGTTAAAAACGTATTTACACTCTAGAGGAATAGCCACCAACAGGTCTACTCCATATAATCCTGAAAAAAATGGACAAACCAAAAGATTCAATGGAATTATTTGGAAAACAGTTACTCTTGCTCTAATATCGCAAAATTTAAAAATCCAAATGTGGGAATAAGTTTTAGAAGATGCTCTTCATTCAATACGTTCTCTTCTTTGTACTGCTAAGAATTGCACATCTCACGAACGAATGTTTCATCATTTAAGGAAATCTTCAAATGGAAGAACTATACCATCTAGGCTAAAAATTCCAGGTAAAGTTTTTATGAAGAAGCATGTTAAATGTTTAAAATATGACCCTTCCGTTGAGGAAGTTGAACTAATTGAAGCCAACCCTAAATATGTCCATGTTCGTCGCATTGATGGAAGAGAAGCCAGAGTATTATTAAAGCATTTAGCACCTCGTGGAGATATAGCTCTTTTTGATTCTCAAATTAGGGATAATTCTCTTCTGAATTCTCCAAATTTACCAGACCATCAACTTCAACAAAATAATGCCCAAAATCGTCCAGTAGAAAATAAGGAATGTCTTGAAATACCTCACCAAAATCATCCTAAAACATAAGATCTTATTGAACATCAATCTAGTCAAAATTTCGACGAAAGTGCATCTGATTCCCATCTAACTAAAAAGGACCTTACTCAGCGAAGTACAAGAATAAGGCGACCGCCAAAATATCTTGAAGATTATGTTCAAAAATGAACCTGGGGAGAATGTGGTGTATTTTCTTAACGTACTATGTTAATGTTAATCACTGTCAATTTTGTCATGCTCATTTTTGCTTATTAAAGCCTATTTTCAACAGGTATTTTTAATTATAACAGTTCTTATAACCTCGAGACGTTGAATACTATACAAATCAGCAAATTATTCTTTATATAACAAGGTAACAATTTTTCATTCTTCTAATAAACAAACGATCATCCAGATATTTCTTCTAATTAAACCATTCATATGTTGCATAGCTAAAATAGTTCGATCTTTCAATGGATAATCGGATGAGACGAACGTTTGGAATACGAAAATATTTATTTATTTTACAGAAACTAATATAGTTATTCAAAACATTCAACTCACAAAAAAAAACCTTAAAAATATAAAACTCGTTAATCTTTGATAATTATTGTATGACACTAAAAAATATTATATCTATTACTTAACCTGATGGTTTTCAAAAAGTTAAAACGCATCTCTTTATAAGAGTTTCATCTTGATGAATCTAAATTTGTCTTATCAACAACAAGTTCGGAAACACAAGTGACAATCGAAATAAAATTCGACTGACAGACCGAATTGTCATCACAAGGAAAGAGATAGGACCATGGAGGTGTTTGAAAAATAACGGTATGAAAGATATACAAGGTATAATCTAATCGTCATCCGTAGTTTATATAAAAGTAGAAACGATATTTTTTGTTTGATTCTCTTTTAAAAATTTCAGGAGACCCGGTAAGTTGTTGACTTATACGTATTTTCTGTTCGGTCATACTTTGCTTTTTTTCAGTGCAGAAATAAGCACCATATTAGTGGGGTTCTAAGAATTGATCTAACTTTGGAAGCTATTGTTCTATACTTTCCAAAAATTACTGGCTAGATGAATATCAAACTTGTAATTTCTATTCGAACTATTCATGAAGACTTCATTGTAAAAGAGAAGATATTATTCCTCTCCATGGTACAACCATTTTGACGGAGATTCGATAAATGTTCCTATTAGCTCTTAATCGTTTATAATTAGTTCAACCTCTGTTTGAGTTTTTTTTTAGTAAGGTGAGATATTTCTAAGATTTTCTTCGGTAACATAGACTAAAGGAATAACAAAGGTTTTCACTGTTACGTGCATGGAATATAACTGATGAAATAATGTATGGACACAAGTTCCATCCGTGTATCAATATTAAGATTCAGCTAACAGACTCAGTAGCCTATTCATGTTTGATCCTGAATCAAATAATAAAAAGCTATAACCATTATATGTCACTTTGAATTTGTACGGCTATGTTTCTTTAAAATTGGTACAGAAAAATATTGATTGTTCTTTTTTCTTGTATATTGAATGGTTCATTTTAAACAGTTTATAGAAATTAAAGTTGAAGGTGATAGCCATGTGTGAGTTATAAGTTCAAAAAAGGTAAATCAAACGAGGGTGGTCCTTAGGATCTCACAAGAGTATTTTATTACGACCGGTTTCGAGGATCAGATCCTCATCATCAGGTAAGGTCCGTAATTACTCATCTATTTAAGACTAACCGGTCGTAATAAAATACTCTTGTGAGATCCTAAGGACCACCCTCGTTTGATTTACCTTTTTTGAGTTTATAGAAAGTAAATGAGCTCTAACAATATCAGAACACGTCTTTGTTGTTTCTGAAATGACGTAATGGCGTTTCCTGAGATGTTAAAGCTATAGTTTTATGATTTATCTTTTATTTTTTTCTTTTTTAACCTCTCGATGAGGTTGTATTCACTTTAACTCTATATTTCCTTTTAACAAAAAAAAATAAAACATACTCGTAC